ACACACACACACACACACACACACACACACATAAACTATATATAAAGGATACTATAAATATGAATATAAACCACATTAAACAATTTACTGAAGCATGTTGCATAATATTACACAGAAAACATACATATCTGGTCTTACAAAAACCTAGGAGTAAATAAATAATGGAAAAATGTTTATTGAATTGGGATATTTGTTAATCATGGTAATTATGGATAATTTATTACTGTGGAAATAACATGGTCATTTGAATCAGTGAAACAACCCTCATAAGAAAAATATACAGATAGTTCTTGGCTTACAGCCATTCATTTAGTGACCATTTGAAGTTACAACAGCACTGAGAAAAGCGACTTATGACTGTTTTTCACGCTTAATGACTGTTGCAACATCCCTGTGGTCACATGATCAAAATTTGGGCACTTGGCAACTGACGTGTATTTATTTATGATGGTTTAAGTGTCCCAGGGTCATGTGACCACCTTTTATGAACTTCTGACAAGTGAAGTCATTTGGGAAGCCGGATTCAGTTTGCTAACTTAATAACAACTGTGGCAAAAAAGGTCATACAATGGGGCAAAATTCACTTGACTGGCTTAGCAATGGAAATTTTGGTCTCAATTGTGAGGTAAGTTGCTGGCTACTTGTATTAAAATTCTGTGGCTATTGGTTTGTCGAAGTACTTTCTCAAATCTGTGTTTTATATGATCAGAAAGCCTTTGCTTATCTTCCCCATCCTGAAGCAAATTCAGACAATGAAGGTGGATTTTTTTTTTCTGCTTTACCTGGCATGGGTTCCTTCAGGGAATCCTGAAACTGGAGTTTTGCAATAATGAAGAGCATTGTCTGCTGAAAATTCCTTAGGATCTTGCCACTGGAGCAGCAGGGTGACTATTAAACACAGTTTAGAGGTGCTCTCACATGAGATAAATTGACTACAATGGGGGCAATGCTTGCTTCTAGCCTACAACTGCAGCAGTGCAAAAACCAAACAGGGTTTTGACATTCGGAAACACAAAGCTGGAAGTGGAAAACATCTCACTTGGTGTGCCATTTTTTTCCTGTAAGAAAGCGAGTTTTTCTAAGCAAAGCATTAACGGACGATTCCCTCACTCTATCAATTCTGTTAATACGGTACTACAGAGAAAGTCCCTAATTTAACTAGTGGGACCGCGAAAATCTCCTCTATCCCAAACAGATAATTACCCTGGAGGGTAGAGCTGGGTTGTTCCCATTTCGTTTTTTACTGCCCTTCTTTGGAACAATTTTTTTTTCTTTTTCCTAGTAACTTGTAGCCAGACATGGAGCACAAACGGCGTATTCCTGTGATTTTTTTTCCTCCCCTGTCCGAAACCAGAAAGGCTGCAATTATTCCAGGAGCCGCAAGGTGGAAGCACCGGGAGTCCAGGAAGAGAAAGGAGCGCCCCGGCTTTTCGAGGCAGCTGGCTGGCCGCTACAGGAAGCGGAGGGTGCTCCACGTGGGTTTCGGTTCGGTGTAGAGCCGAGCGGCTCGTCTTTTGCGGGTTATGGCTGAGAGGATCGAAGAACGCATCGAGGACCGAATCCCGGAGCTAGAGCAGTTAGAGAGAGTCGGGCTGTTCACTCGTAAGGAAATCAGGTAAACGGGAGGCCTGTGGAAGCGGGGCGTTCACATAACTAGGGAAGAGTGGGAAGAAAGTGTGACAAATGTAAGATTTGGGGGGAGCGTGATGGGGAAAAAAAGGTGGAAGGAGACCCTAGCCTAGATGCTTCTACTTGCAGCATTATCTTTCCGATTAAGAATCAACCATCACAAGGATGGCTTTATCCCCCCTTCTTCAATCTTGTGTCTTCCAGGTGCACTGGCATTTCTTTTAGTCCCAATACAAATGCATAAGATCACTTTAAGGGAGGCTTCTTAAAGGCTTTGTGCTGGACCTCCTAAAAGTCCTATATATACAGGTGGTCCTCGACTTTGCTAAGATGCAAAGTGAGACACTTGTGAGTTTTGCCCCATTTTATGATCTTGCTTGCCTTAGTTGTTAAGTGAGTCATGGCAGTTAAGTTAGTAACGCTGTTGTTAAGTGAATCTGGCTTCCCCATTGACTTTCCTGGTTGGAAGGTTGCTAGGGACCCCGGGACACTGAAACTGTCACAAATATGAACCAGTTGCCAAGCATTTGAATTTTGATCATGTGACTATGGGGATGGTGAAATGGTTGTGTGAAAAATAGTGATGTCGCTTAGTTTATTGCTGTTGTAACTATGAATGGTCACAAGATGAACTTATGTCAAGGACTACTTTTATTTATATGTGGGTATCCTTCCATCCTCCACCTATATTACACAGCAACTTGTCCAGGGTAATTGGCTGCATTAAAAAAATTCCATCAGCTCCAACAGTTGAAAGAAGCTGTGCTTGACAAGGTAGCGTGGAGAGCATTTTGCCTATACGTTGCCAAAAGGTAAACACAACTGAACTGTTAAAACTACTACTAATATGGATCAGAATTTGTGAAAGGATTCTGGCTTCATTTTTGCAGGGCGGTCATTAAGAAGGTCTCAGCTCTTGAATATAAGATACAGCGGAGAGCACTTCACAAGAAAGACTTCATTAGTTACATACAGGTAGTTTTCTGACAAAGGTCTTTTTCTATGTATTTTTATCTGTTGATATGAATACATCTATGATACATTGTTTATTCTGCCACTAACTACTTCAAATTTGTTTGTTTCTTAAAGTGAATCTGCAATGTGATGCGATAAAATGTAACTTAGGGGGAAGGTAAACAGTCTTTTAATTAGTTCACATGATGTCACAGGAACTTTCCAAAATATTTAAATGTTTGAAAATAGAAAACATAATTGAAATCAATTAATTTTCATAAGATTTTAGGAAAATTAGCAACCATTGTAAATTCAAGCTATTTTGCATTTGTTAAAAAGTTTTAGAAATTTGAGATCAGTAGGGAGAATGCATACATGTAGTCTTCAATTACGACCACAGTTGGGCCCAACATTTCTTCTCCTAAGCAAGGCAGTTGCTAAGTAAGCTGTGTCTCATTTTACAACTTTTTTGTCACAGTTGTTAAGAGAACAACTTAATGCAGTCATTAAGCAATTCTGGCTTTCCTCATTGATTTTGCTTGTTGGAAGCTGTCTGGGAAGATTAATGTTGACCACGACAGTGCAACTGCTATAAATTCATGCCAGTTGCTAAGCACCCACATTTTGATGACTGGCCCTCAGAGCTTCCAGTTCAGGAAGGAGCACTCCCTTGCCAAGCTTTAATTTTCCTCCTTCCTCCAAAACAGGTTTAATAAGTTGAATTAAATTCGGAATACATGTAGAAAAGGAATGAAAGCATGGAGAAAAATGGGAGAGGGGTCTATCTCAATGGTTTTTTTAATAAAATATTTTTTCTTTTTCTTTTTTTCTTCCACCTTAATTGGAAATTGCAAAAAAAGACAAGAATTTTAAGTGCTTACAAAATATTGATTGCAAGAATCAGTGACTAGCAGATTTATAGTATAACCAGTAAGCATATGGATCTACTTTGGTGCAGTGGTTAAAGCACCAGGTTAGAAACTAGGATGAGATGGGGAAACTGAAGGCTGAAATGAAAGCGGATATATCGAAGGTGGAGGGTAAGATAGGGTCTCTACAGCAGGCCATGGAGAGAAACGAAGTGAAAATAAAAGATATAGAGAGTAGAACAACACGCATGGAGACTAACTTTGAAAGGATGGATGAGGAATTTAAAAATGTACTTAGAGAAACGGAAGACTCTCTGGTCCACCTCGAGATGGACAAAGCAATGGCGTATTTAAGATTCCAGAATGTGGCGGAAGCCAAAAATGAAGAATTGGAACATTTGATGGCAGAAATATTGGCTGAATGGCTAGGAAAGGAAAAAGATGATCTAATTAAAGAGTTTGATCAGGTATATAGGGTTAGCACAAGCTACGCCAGGAGTAACAACTGTCCAAGAGAAATTCATATCCGCTTCTCTAGGAGATGTCTGAGGGATTTAATTTTGAAAATGTCTAGGGAGGAAACAATATCATATAAAGGCAGAGAAATTAGGATTTTAAAACAAATTCCAAAGAGAGTGAGGATGATAAGACAAGATTATAAATTTTTAGCTAATGATTTAAATAAAGAAGGAATCCATTTTAAATGGTTAATCCCGGAAGGGATGTTAATTACATGGAAAGAGAGGAAAATCAAAATAGAATCGATAGAACAGGCCCAAGTTTTTCATCAACAGCTCACAGATAAGAATAGTCAACCCACCAAAGAAGAACCTAAAACAAGACCACAGGAGGTCCGATATTATCACAGAACCCAAAAGGAACGACTTTCTCCAATTTCAGGAAGTGATAATCCACAACATGGGAGAGAAGAGCAAATCCCACAACAACAACAACAAGAGAACCGAATCATTACTAGGCAAAAATCTAAGCAGAAGTAGATAAATGGTGGAGGGGAAGAAGTTGCTCTCCATCAATATAAACGGATTAAATTCATTATCAAAAAGAAAAAGGATATTCTCAAAACTTATTCAACATAACACAGATATAATATGTCTTCAAGAGACACATATTTCGAAAAATGACGAAAGACATCTAATTTGTCCAAAATTAGGTAAACTTTTTACAGCACCGGCCGACAAACACAAGAAAAAGGGAATTGCAATTTACGTAAAACAAGATGTAAAGGCAGAATTAATCTGGTCGGATCCCGAAGGAAGAACTCTGGTTATACAAGTTTGGATAAACCACATCACATTTTTACTTGTAGCAATCTATGCCCCAAATGATGACCAGGGGAAATTTTTTAAACACCTTCACCAAAAAATAGTAGGCTTTGAAAAAAGAAACATTTGCTTGATTGGCGATTTTAACTCCATTGCAGACTACCAGAAAGACCATAGTAATATGGGGAAAAACAAGAAGGGGAAAAGGGAACTTTCTGCGGCATGTAAGGAAATGTTGAGAGAGCTAAATTTAAAAGATCTATGGAGGGAACGGAATCTTGAAGGAAAACAATTTACATACTATTCTAACCCACATAAGACTTGGACCAGAATAGATATGGCTTGGATGGATTTGGACTTGGCTAATGAAATAAAAGAAATCAAAATCCTACCGAATGAATGGGCTGATCATAACCCAATACAGCTAATTTGGAGAGATAGGAGACGAATAAAAAAAAGATGGACACTAAACAACCAAATTGTAAACGAAGAAGAGTATATTAATAAACTGAAAGAGGAGCTAAACTATTTTCTAAAAGATAATAATAATGAAACAACTTCAAAACAGAACATTTGGGATACTATGAAAGCAATTATAAGAGGCACAACAATTTCCTATAATGCTATGAGAAACAAGAGAATTTATGCCCAACAAAACATGTTACAACAACAAATCCAAGACTTAGAAATACAATTACAAAAAACCCCTAAGGTCCAAGGACTACAAAATCAGTTAATACTAGCCAAACATAAGCTGAATTTAATTGAACAAGATAAAATAGAAGTTAGCTTGAGAAGGTCCAAACAAAATTATTTTGAACATGCCAATAAACCAGGAAGATGGCTATCTTATAAACTTAAAAAAGAAAAAGAAGAGAGATTGATACACCAATTAATAGATGAGAAAGGCATCCCACAACATGAGATTGAGAAGAAAAAGGATATTATATTAAACTATTTTCAAAGATTATATAAAAAAGAAGAAATCAATGAGGATAAAATAAGAACTTATCTGGAGAATACGAATGATAAAACAATAGGGGAAGGAGACAAAGAATTACTAAATAAGGATATTACATGGTCTGAGTTAAAATCTGCAATGGAAAATCAATGTAATAATAAATCCCCTGGTCCAGATGGGATTCCAGTAGAATTGTATAAAGCCACAATAGATTTAGTAGGGCCTCTGATGCTGGAAGTGTTTAACGAAGTACTTTTGGCTGCCAAAATGCCAGACTCATGGAGGGAGGCGTTGATTGCGTTAATTCCGAAGGAGGATGTGGATGCCAGATATATCAACAATTATAGACCAATCTCACTTTTAAACGCCGATTATAAATTATTTACCTCAATTATAGCGAATAGAGTAAAACAAGTTTTAAATTTATACATTCATGAAGACCAAAATGGTTTCCTTCCATTCCGCCAAATTAAAAACAATTTAAGAACCGTTAATGACGTCTTAGAATATTATGAAGCTCATCCAGAGAAACAATTTACACTCATGTTTCTAGATGCGGAGAAAGCATTCGATAACTTACATTGGCACTTTTTAATACAAAAAATCTATAACATGAATCTGGGCACTAAATTCGAGAATATTATCACAACAATTTACAATACCCAACAAGCCAATATACTAATTAATGGTGAACGAACAGGCCCACTAAGCATTGAAAAGGGCGTTAGACAGGGTTGCCCTCTCTCACCCCTCTTATTTATATTTGCTTTAGAATCATTGTTAACGCGGATAAGACAAAATTCTGAAATCCAAGGAGTTAGGGTCAAAGCAGAGGAATATAAATTACAGGCGTTTGCAGACGATATGGTTTTCTTCCTAGAGGATCCCATGGAAAAAGGACATAATCTAATAAAAGAACTAGAACAATATGGCTCAGTAGCAGGATTAAAGATTAACAGAAATAAGACGAAATTACTGACTAAAAATCTAACAGGGAACCAGAGGAAAGAATTAGAAAAAACCATGGGGATACAGGCAACAAAAAAGGTCAAATATTTAGGCATATGGTTAACACCACATAGTAAATCACTCAAAGAGAATAATTATGATAAACTGTTACAGCAAATTAAGAAAGATCTAGAATCTTGGAATAAGTTGCAGCTTTCTCTACTGGGCAGGATTGCCACAATCAAAATGAACATCTTACCAAAACTCCTTTACTTATTCCAGACAATCCCAATAAAATTACCAAAAAAATTTTTTGATGATATAAATAAGGTAACTCTTAAATTTATTTGGCAAGGGAAAAAAGCTAGAATCAGTATTAAGGCCTTACAAGATGCAAAAAGTAGAGGTGGGCTAGCGCTTCCAAACTGGGAATTATATTATTGGGCAGCCAACTTATTATGGTTAAAAGACTGGGTCAATTTACGGAACAAAAGAACTCTAGTCTTGGAAGGGCACGACCTTCAGAGAGGATGGCACGCATTTCTATGGGATGTGGGGAAAACTAAACAGGCGTACTTTCATAGACATCTTATTAGAGATTCACTATTAACTAATTAGAAAAAAATATGTAAAAAACATTATTTAAAAATTCCGATTTGGCTTTCAACAATGGAGGCAATGGTTCATCCCAACAATTTGGATATAACAAAAACGACTAAATATAAAGATTTATTAGACCCTTTAGGAAAATTAAGAACTCGACAGGACTTACAGGAACAGGGATTTAAAATTGATCAGTGGTTATATATACAAATCCATAGTAGATACAAACAAGATATCAAAGAGTTTGGAATCTATAGCAAATTACAACACTTAGATAAAATCTTATTAGGATCAAATAAAAAGAATATCTCTAAATTTTATAAATATTTATTGGAGGTAGAATTAGAGCAAGAGATAGTGAAAGGGAACATGACAATGTGGAGTAGGAATATTGGAAGAAGCATTACATTAACAGAATGGGAAAAGATCTGGAATAGAATCATTAAGATTACGAAATCTGTGGCGTACAAAGAAAATATGTATAAAATGTTATATAGATGGCACTTATCCCCTTCGAGGTTAGCGAAAATGAACCCAAACTCTAGTCCAAAATGTTGGAAATGTAAAAACATAGAGGGAACCTACTTTCATATGTGGTGGACCTGTAAAGAAGCCCAGAAATACTGGCAAAAAATTAGAAAATGGCTGGAGGAGATAACCAAAGAACAAATCGAATACAAACCAGAGTTCTTCCTACTAGGGATCTCTGATAAACATTTTCCTAAAAAGACGAAATATATAATAATTCATATTCTAACTGCGGCCAGATTAGCATTTGCCCAGTGCTGGAAATCATCCTGTTTACCTACAGATCAATTGGTCATTCAGAAAATATGTGACTGCGCAGAAATGGACAATTTAACCATAGCTCTTAAAAATAAAGAGTCTTCAGCATTTGATAATAATTGGAATGCGTGGTATAATTGGTTATATCAGAGATAAACTGTTCAAGGAATAATGGGTAATTTAAGCATAAATAGTGATAAGATGTGTATATTTAAAGTAAGGTAGGAGAATTGGATCTTGCAGACTGTCAAAAAGAATATCTGTTTGGTTTTAACGTATTTTCTTTTTTCTTCCGTCTCTTTGTTTTTTTTCTCTCTTTTATACTTCTTTTTCTCCTTTTTCGGTCGCAAGACCGAGCGTTTTTTTTCTTCTTTTCCTCTCTCTTTCTCTTCTTTCTTTCTTCTTTTTTTCTCTCTGTTGCATATGTAATGTTGTTATGTTATTTTTTAATTGTAAATTCAATAAAATTTATATATATAAAAAAAAGAAACTAGGAGGCCTAGTCTTCCTTTAGCCACCAAGCCACCTGGGTGACGTAGGGCCAGTCACTTCTCTCACACTAAAAAGAAGGAACTGGCAAGTTACTTTTGAAAAATGCTGCCAAGAAAAGCGCAGGGAGCAGGTTATATGGGTTAAGGACAAAATGACTTGAAGGCTCAACTTGCAATTGTGTATATGACATACCTTTTCTAGTTTCTGTATTTTAACTAAGAAGTATGTAAACATTTCCATATATTTCTATTGCCCATATTTGCAGTTTATAGATTTGTGCACAAATGCATGATTTGTCATTGTACAAGCAAATTTGTGGATAGTTGATGGGTGTGTACAAGTAGTTCTCGACTTACAACAATTCACTTGGTGACTTGTTCGAAGGTACAATGGCACTGAAAAAAGTGACTTATGACCATTTGTCACACTTATGACCCTTTCAGCATCCCCATGGCCATGTAATCAACATTCAGATGCTTGGCAAAGGGCTCATAGTTATGACGGTTGCAGTGTCCTGGGATCATATGATCTCCTTTTGTAGCCTTCTGACAAGCAAAGTCAATGGGGAAGCCAGATTCACTTAATAAACGTGTTACTAACTTAACAACTGCAGTAAGTCACTTAACAATTGTGGGAAGAAAGATTGTAAAATGGGACCAAACTCACTTAACAAATATCCTACTTAGCAACATAATTTTGGGCTCGGCTGTGGTCGTAAGTTGAGGATATCTGTACATATATGAAGATAGGAGGTAGGAAAAAGCAGCTGTATTATAGTGGGTAATATGTGACCGATCAGATTGTTGTTGAATTCGGTTCCGATTCCATGTTTGCTAAGACTGCTTGGAATTCAACAAGATGTGAAGGTGTGTTAAGAATGTAAGAAACCTGCACCCAGCCAAGCCCATTGCTGAATATTGCTTAGCATTACTATTCCCCAGGCTTTCGCTCCTACCTAAAGGTATTTCAGTGGGAGCTTATGAAGAGATTACTTGTCACTCAGCTACGATCCTTTCTTATAAAAAAATAGATTATTTGAGATGTGGCAGGCCTAAGAGATTATCGATGGAGAAAATGGTATTACATTAAATATGCTTGTTAGGAGAGGAATATAGAAAATGTACAAATGAGCTACGCTGCAGACTGATGCAAGTAGATTGAGGAAAGCAGAGCAAAGCTTCCCTGTAAGGGAATGATGGGTAGACCTTGTTATCTTCTCCCCTCCCTCCCCTTTGGGGAAGCAGTTAAGTAGAGGATCCCTTGGGGAGATGGGTTGTATATAAATTTAATAAAACAGACAGACAGACAAATCATGGGGATCTAAGCTGGTGAGTAACCTGAACTATACATTTCAATAAAAGCTGAAGTGACACATTTCTTTATTTTAGAATTCCGAATGGTTATAAATAGCAGCAGGGTCCTCACGATCAAAATTGAGCCCAAAATTTATTGTTGTTAAGTGAGAAATTTGTTAAGTGAGCTTTGCTCCATTTTATGACTTTTCTTGCCACATTTGTTAAGTGAATCACTGCTGTTGTTAAATTAGTAACACAGTTGTTAAATGAATCTGGCTTCCCCATTGTCTCTGCTTGTCAGAAAGTTGGAAAAAGTGTTCACACTGCGACCAGGCCGTCATAAATGCAAACTAGTTGTCAAGTATTCCAATGTAAATCATGTGACCATGGGGAATGCTGCAACGGTCATAAGTGTGAAAAATGACCATAAGTCACTTGTTTCAGTGCTGTTGTAACTTCAAATGGTCACTAAGTGAACTGTTGTAAGTTGAAGACTACCTATACTTTTGATCAGCTTGTTGATCACAACAACAAGAGATTGCTGGTCTATCCCCTCATTCCATTCTTCGCTTTCTGCAAACTTTGGGGTTTCCCGAGTGATATTAGTAATTGCCAGGAAGGATCAGGACAGTAAATCTTGGGTTTCTCCTTAACTTGCAAATACCCTAATTAGTGTGGATAGTGCTTGGCTGCCTTAGAATGAACATCTAGAAAATGGCTTTGCTATTAATATATTGGATTGAGGGATTAGAGTAATTCTTGATTAATCGTTGCGTTATTGGCAACTTGTTTCACTTGCAGCTGTTATCGTACGTTCTAGAAATGCTAAAAATGTAAGGCTTGATAGTGACAAACTATACAGCACAGTAATCCTTGAATTATTGTTGATCATTTTTCTCGCAGTATGAAATCAATCTCTTGGAACTCATTAAGACACGAAGACTGGTAAGTTACCCAGGGACTGATCATTTGAAAAAGCATATGGAGATTTTAAAGTCTGTACCAGTGACAGCCTCTGTTCTTTTCCTTTAGCGCATTGGATATTCATTCAAGAAAGAAGAGATTGAATATTCCATTGTGCAAAGAATCCATGGCGTTTTCAAGCGTGCTACAACAAAATGGAAGGTAAACCTATCATTGGTACAAAAATTCCTTTTTTCTAATTTTTTGATGCTATTAAAAATAAATAGAATTATCTTTATATTTGAATCAGATACCTACATCAAAAAATTAGCATGTGCACAATCTCCATGTTTAGTGATTGGAATTTATCTCAGAAGCAAAATGATTGTTAAGCAAATATGTTGCAGAGAAAGAGAGAGGTTGCAAAGACTGGTTCATGAGGTCTTATTTAGATAAAGTTTTCTTATACAGCTCACCAGCGTGTGTTATTGACAGGCACGTGAAATTTGATTATAAGTAAGTTCATTGGTCAGAAAAATGATTTTTTTGGTTACTGCCATTGTAGTTGTGAACAATTGCTAAACAAGGCAGCTGCTAAATGAGAAGTGGCTGTATCTAGTTTTTAGTAGTAAATTTCCTGTTTTTCATTATAAAATATATGACACAGGATAATATATAGGTAGTCTTTGCTTTCAAATCACTCAATCAATCACTGTTTAAAGTTGTGAATGAACAAGTGGTACTTGCGACTGGTCCTCAAAGTTCTGGCCATTGCTGCATCCCTGCAGTCACATGATCATGATTCAGGTGTTTCCAATCAAATTGTGCTTACAATAGTTGCAGTGTCCTGTAGTCACATGATCACCATTTGCAACCTTCCCTGCCAGCTTCCCACAAGCAAAATCAATGGGAAAACGGACAGGGAAATTCGCAAGTCGCTCTAGTAATTCTACCTTTGCTTCCCTGGGCCTTCTGCTATGCTTTCTTTCCCTTGGCCTCCCTGCACGACTGCAGACCTCTTTCTTCCCTTGGCCTCCTTGTGCTTGTGCAGTACTATTGCATCCCCTCCCCCAATTTACACGAGACCAATACAGGAGCTTTTCCACCTGTGTGTGTGTGGGGGCATTTCTATGCTTCTGCAGTTTAATCTGATCTAGAAGTTTTGTGGCGTGTTACATGGCATTGGTTGCCTTCCAGCAGGACCTGGGTAAAGCATGGAAGGGGAAGCCTTAAAGTACAGCAATTTCTATATAAATTCTAAAAATTGTTAGATATTTTCCATGAGTGGTGTGGTGCCCTAGTGGTGAAGACTCTCACCTCCCACTCGGAAGGATAAGAGTTCAATCCTACGTAGTGGCAGATGTTTCTCTCCTAGGGTGCAAAGAAAATAAGTGGCAGGAGTCCCAGGTAAAAATTGTGGGAAGGTAGACAGAGTTTGGAACACCCAGCACAGGCCACACATGAGTCAAGGGATACTGGAGAAGGACTGGAGAAGCCCAGCGTAGGCTTGCCCATGAGTCGAGGGAGGCTGGGGAAGGTTTTGGAAAGATCCACTACAGGCAGGCAGGACTGATTTACCAGTGATTTGTGACCTTTCCTGTTGGCTTCCCCATTGACTTTGTTTATCAGAAGCTGGCAGGGAAGGTTGCAAATGGTGCTCATGCAGTTCCCTGTGATGTTATAATCACAAGCAGGGCACTCTAACGCCCGGATCGTGACCGTGTGATAGCAGGGACTGGAGCTTTGAGTATTGATCATCATATGTTCATTTTTTTCAGCACCACTGCAATTTGAATGGTCACTGAGCAAATGAATGTAAGCTGAGGACTATTGTACTTATATCTGTATAAATACAGAAATCCTCAATTTCTAAAGTTGTTGCCCTATCTAAATGTTTGCTTGATTTCCTCCTTTTCCTCCCAATTCCTGATGATCTAGAGAGCATTGGAATGAATGAGTGGTCGTAAGTTCTCAGCTGATTCCTTTTCCCTTTGTCTCACTCCAACAGGATGACCTTCAGCTGTGGCTGTCTCACATTGCATTTTGCAAGGAATGGGTGAGTGGATATAATTTGCTTGGAATCAATTTGTGATTTATTATTTGAACTAAGCTTCCTCCTTCTGATTTTTATATTGTGGTGCTCTGTCCCATTTATTGGAATATGCAGCTTGAATGTATCATTTGCAGTGTAAAATGCTGTGGGCCTTCAAAGAAATTAATTAAGGGCAGGAAGCAAAACCATCCGTTGTGGGCCAAATGGATATTCAGGATAAGATACTTAATTTTGATACATTTTTTGTGGAAAGTATTCCTTTTTCTCTTCTGGAAATCACATCAAAAGTATTGCTGGAGAGTCTTTGCTATATGAAAATTGTACAGTCAAAATTGGTTTGTTAATTAAGCTAAGTCAATTAACCCATACAATCTGCCAAGAAGTAAGACAATCATCCACATTTCTGGATGATTAGGGATATTGTTTGTTGAGGTAATTCCCCGTTAGGAGAATGAATGACTTATATTCCTAACATTGTTTCTTTTACTTCTCCACATTTAATGCTATTTAATTGTTCTCAACTATTCCCAACTTTAATTATGGGAAATGTAGATACAGTGAGTTCAATCCTTGCTTCAATCCTTTGAAGGCTTGCATCTGTCTCTATTCTTGTTAGATCAAGAAAATTCAAGTTCTCTGCAGTGAAAGTGATTGGGTTTCATATTGAAATGCATAATTACAATTGTGTTTTCTGTTTCATTACAGAACAAGAAAATACAGCTGAGCAAGGTGTTTTCTTCCATGTTAGCGCTTCATCCCAACAAACCAGGTACATGTCTGTAATTCTTCCTACAAGAAGCACAAACCTTTTAAATTGCTAGTCCTTGGACATATGAACAGAAGTTGAGGACAGCTGGGGAGTGAGAGGTTTTTCTGATGTGTTTTTAATGACAGGTAGGCCTCAACTTATGACTCAATTTTATAATCTGTTTTTTGGTGGTGGTTTTGTTAAGTGAACGCAGTCATTCAGCAAAATGTATTCATGGTGCTTTTTTTGCTGCAAACTGAAAGTAAACATTTGTGGCAAATTTGTTGTAAATTATAGTCATGTGATCATGGGATGCTGCAAACCTTGCAACTGGATCGTAAGTACCTGTTGGGATGGTCTGTTGTAACTTTTAATGGTTGCTAAGTGACCGGCCAGAAGTCAAGGACTACCTGTATTGTTTTAAATGTGGTTTAATTTCATTTAAATGCTTTCTTGCTTGTCTGTTTTTTCTTACTTTTGCAAATCACATAAATAACTTCTGCTTCAACAAAACTGGATAGAACATAGAAAAGTGAATAATTTTATGACTGTTACACACAGAGAGAGAGGGAATTGCTGTAATTGCAGAAGTGGTTTGACATGAATGAATTTCAGGTGTTACAGAAATGAAAGAGATGACCCATGCTGAAATATGAAATGGGGTATTTACAATGCATCATTTTGTCTAGGAATCCTAGTAACGTTATCTAGTCCGGAATAGGAACCTCTGACTTTCGCACATTGTCAAGTTACAACTGCCCTCTTCAGGGGCCATGCTGGCTTGGCTGTTGTAAACAGCAAAGATTAAGGATTTCTTTTTGGATTGACTTCTAGTTTGATGCCTCATTCTGTATTGGCTGTCTTAAATAAGTCTGTCTCTTTGATTAGCTTTGTGGATCATGGCTGCAAAATGGGAGATGGAAGACCGCCTGTCATCAGAAAGTGCTCGGCAGTTGTTCCTGCGTGCATTGCGCTTCCATCCTGAATCTCCTAAACTTTACCAAGAGGTAGGCAGGTGATTCTCCCTCCCTCCTCTCTGCAATAGAATATAGAACAAATATAGATGACCTGTTCCTTGTCACGAAGAATAAAATATCATCGGGGTTGTTCATCTTTGTTCGGAAATTTTATCTTTGAGTTATTATAAGGTATGCTTTGGTGTACAATTGACCGTGCTTAACTGCCCTATTTAGCAACTGGTCAAAGTTATCACAGCACTGAAAAAGCAATTTTATGACCGCATATGCATGACAGTCACAGCGTCCCCTTGCTCAGGTGATCAAGGTTTGGGCACTTCACAAGTTATTCATTCATATTTTGATCTGTTGCCATCAGGGAAGTGTTATAGATGTCTTAAAATGAGGACTAATAGATTGAGAAACAGTTCCTTTTCCAAGGCAGTAATTGTCTTGAATCAAACAGTGCATTTGTGATTTAGTCCTATCATTATCAATATTATCATTATTTTAATTTTTAAGACTGTAGTGTGATTGTGATGTGGTGTGTGGGGCACTGTGCTGGAGTAGCTTGCAAATTTCATTGTATTCGTGGAATGCAATGACAATAACTCTATTCTATTCTAAGTTGTATTTATAGCTGTCACAGTGTCCCTGGGTCATGTGAATTTTATTTGTGTGTTTCACAAATGGCTTCCAACAAGTAGAGTCAATGGCAGTAAAAACACAAGTTGTAAAAAAATTCCTTAACTGTGAGTGATTTGTTTAATGACCATGGCATGGTAATGTGGTAAGTTTGTTATGGTCACGTGATGTTTTTCTTAGCAACCTGCATCATTTAGTGGCAGAGTTGCCAGTCCCAGTTGTAGTCACTAAGGAGGACTACCTCTATGCTTATATGTTTCAGGAGAAAAAGAAGTAGATTTTTTTTAAAAAAGATTTTCATCCCACTTTTTTTTTTTATATACAACTCAAGGCGGCAAACATAACAGTCCACCTTCCTTCTCCTATTTTCCCCACAACAACAAGTCTGTGCTGAGAGTTGGGTTGAGAGAAAGTGATTGGCCCAAAGTCACCCAGGGGGTCTTTGGTGCCATTCCTACCAGCAGCTTAAGAGTATTTTTGACAATTATCCAATCATTGTTCTTCCAATATAGTACTAATAGAGATACACATTTTGTCTCAGTAATGTTAGGTAATGCTAGTAGCTGCTGTATGTATAATGGAAATATATATATTTTTTAGCAAAAATGAGAAAACCATGCTTTTAGGGGGCTTTCTGAAACATACCATATGTTTCATGCCTAATGAAAATGCAGAAGAAATGTTTTGTTTTTTTTAAATCCCACCAGCCAAAAGAAGACACAATAGCTTTTGGAGTTATGCTGCCAGGTTGTCTTTGTGCTCTTAACATTTGAACGCCATGTACAGTGTCTATATATGGCAGGCTATTGTCAGCGGTAAATTCCAATTATGTATTCCTATCTTTCAGTTATGACCTTAGTTTTCTGATTAAGTGGCAGTAGTTGGAGAAAGAGATCCAGTCCACGAAAGTGACATAATTAATCAGGGCAAAAGTGCTGTTGGGGTGCAAATATAATACCGAGTCCCTGCAATCTTCGTTAAATGATGTGCCTGGGTTAGTTATAGGATAAAAATATCTTGTAGCAGAAACTATTCAAGAGTGCTTTAAGCAGCAGTATTAGCAAGGACTTCTTTTTAACCAGGAAGCTCTGATTATGTTCTTTGTAATTGTTGAATGCCTTGATACATTATTCTCTTCCCCTTCCCCGTCTTCCTTTCTCCTTTCCTCTTCCTCTTCCTTTCCTAGTATTTTAGAATGGAGCTGATGCATGCAGAAAAGCAAAGGAAAGAGAAGAAAGAATTTGAGCAAGCAAAGATAGATTTAGTAAGAAATCATTATGTTTGTTATAAAAAATATTTCTTTCTCTCCGTGGTACTTATTTAATTTAAATTGTCAGGTGGAAGTATTTGAACTGTCAGTTTATAGTGAGAGTAATTATTGCATATTTGTGCAGTGCTTTCCTGCACTTGCTATAGTTTAATAAATGAATCCAGTAACCCCTATCTGTGGTGCCCACCTGGGCTTCAAAGCAGGTTGCCTGACCAAGAAGAAACTCTCCCACATTCTTCTGTTGCCCGATTTTGATGTCCTTCCATTGCTAAATCAGGAATGTGAAAACACAGCAGATAAACAATGAAAGGACTTTATCAGCAGTCAGTGGTTGTTATCAAAGGCGGGATGCAAATGAGATCACATTTCTTTGCTTCCCTTTGCACTTCTAGGGGTCGCAACTTATATCAACATGTACCAGGTGTTGTTTTTTAAAATCTACTTTAGATCCTTCTTTCATTGAATTAGAACCCATCCAATTCCAAGATTTTGTAGCAGGTAAACAATATGGTCTTCCCGATGCCTAAGTACCAAAAACCAACGAGGAAAAATGTTTTACATTATTTGTAAAAGATGTGTGGGTCTGATCCTTAGCAAGTTACTGGAATTTTGTGACAGTTCTTTGTTTTCAAAGCCTTTCTTCTACCCTTCAGTTGCTCATTGAAAGCAGCTGCACTAGAAAGGTAAAGCATGACAATTAGATGTAGTAGTGCTGTTGTTGGGCTATGTTAGAGATGTCATTTAAAGAGGAGATACTCACGTTTTCTTAACAATGCCCCCCACAATCAATTGGGAATTGATTTCCATTTACAGTAAATTTGCAATTGATTCCATATGGAAACACTGTAATCCCCCATAATTCCAGACATGATTTTTGAGCTATATGTGGCCATGATTATTAATATCAGGGAAAGAAGAATATGATGCAGAATAGATTTGAATCTCACTGAAAGATGGAATTGATTAGGTGCTGGTATGTTGGCGTTCAAGATTCCGCACCACCATTTGCTTTTTATTAGGAGTGATAGATCAAATTTGACAGAGTTTGATAGAAAGATCAGAATGCCATAAGGGTTTCTACGAAAGATTATTCCTTTTGTGGATTAGGAAGTATGAATTCTGCCAAATCACTTTTATTTAAAAAAAGACAAAGGAAAGAAAATGGCTGTGCCAATTTTCAACATATGTAGTCAGTTTGGAATATTCTCTTTAGTTCTGAGCTCAGTTAATTGTTTACTATGATGGCCTCCTCCACTGCTAGATAAACCGAGAGAGCATGTGGTTCTCTGTTCTGTGCAGAGCTCCGTTCCAGAAGGGACTGTGTTATCTTTTCCACAGCAGAGAACGTTCAGTATGAATGTAATGACTCAGAAGCCACAGGTGGTACAGAATGCAATGGCTGGCCTGTTAGTAGATAAGAGCAGTTCCTCCCAAATTCCACTGCAGGCATTGTCACTGGGGTTATAGGCATCATCCAAAATGTTAGGTGTGACACTTACAGAACCCTAAATGGCTCTGTTCAGCATTGGTTTCTCCAGTAGAACTGGTCTGTGTATATCAAAGGTGTCAAACTCGCGGCCTGTGGGCTGGATGTGTCACACATTGGCCACTCTCTGGTTTAGCGAAGGAGAAAAAGTTGTGATACGTCCTGCGACAATGTGTCGTCGGGAATTTGACACCCCTGGTGTATATGTTCATCCTAGACGGGAACATTGGGATTCCCACGATCCAAGAGATCGAGGTTAGTGGGAGCGTGGGTTACTGCTTCTCAGTTGTGTTCACCCCCAATCCATTGGGATAGTCTTCTCCCAGCAACCATTCTGGCCTCATTCCAGAAGACAAATAAGGGTTTTTGAAACCTGAAGTTACCTTACACTTGTGGGTTACCTGTAGGACAATTGTGTATATGTTTATGACAAGGTGTGTTGTTGTTTTTGTATTATCACTGCTTTTATTTGTATGGTTTTATAGGTTTTGTGGTGATATAGCACAAAGTCTTTGAACACTGGAAGCATAGAAATAATATGCACATGCAATGTTATCCTGACACTGGGAGACATCTGGCCTCCCCATTTTATTTAAACATTATAGCCCTCCAGAGTGTCTGAGTCTTGTGGCAGCTGAAGCCTTGGACAGGTGCTGTAAAGGTTTTTCTAGAAAAAAAAAGAAATAAAACTATAATCATAAAAGCCATTTTCTCTTGGTTTTTAGGGTGAGTTCAGTTTTTCTGAGGACATTCTTAATGGTGAACTGGCTAGAATTGTCTACAGAAATGCCACTGAAAAAATAAAAGGTAACCTATTACTCTTTAACTTGTAATCTTACCCACTTGTACATTATCTTGTTGTTCTTTTAATTTCAAACATGAGTATAGTTCATCTCAATTGTTTAACTATTTAGTTGCTTCAAGTCATTTTTGACTCCTGGAAACTTCCTGGATTGGTCCCTGCGGTTTCCCTAGTAAGATTTCAGAAGTGGTTTGCCATTGCCTTCTCCCTAGGGCTGAGAGAGGGTGACGGGCCCAAGATCACCCAGCTGGTTTCCTGTCGAAGGCGGGACTGGAATCCATAGTCTCCCAGTTTTTAGCCCGGTGCCTTAACCAATACACCAAACAGCTTAATGGTGCCTTCTTGATGCATCGAAATCTGGTCGCTCAAAATGGTCGGTTAGACGAATTAGCTAGTCAGCTATCTAGAAGTCCTAAAAATGCAGTTCATTTAGTGACTGTTCAAAATTACAAACATCACTGAAAAAAGTGACATGACCATTTTTTATACTGTTGCAGCATCCCCATGGTCATATGATTAAAATTCAGACTCTTGGCAACTGACTCACGTTTATGACCATTGCTGTGTCCCAGGGTCACATGAACACCTTCTGGCAAGCAATGTCAATGGGGAAGCTAGATTCATTTAACAACTGCAGTGATTCACTTAACAACTGAGGCAAGAAAAGCCTTAAAATTGAGCAAGGCTCATTTAATATCTGTCTCACTTAGCAACATAAAGTTTGGGCTCAATTGTGGTCATAAATCAAGGACTACCTGTATTTTCTTCAAGCATTGGGGAGATATCTTTTCTCTATGCAGTATTAGTTTAGAGTAAAAATGCTCTTATTTCCTTTTGTGGGTTTAGGGTAGACGTGCTTCAACTTTTTTAACACATTGGTGTTCTTTGGGCCAATAAGCAAGCATATCTGGAATTTTAAGCCTGTGTCATTAGTTGTTTAACAAAGGGGCTAACGCTGATGAGACTTGGAGACAGGTAATTGGCTAAGAAAATGAATAGGAGGAACAGAAAAGAGTCTGAGGAGAATAACTTGCATATTTGATGTCACCAATTGCAACAGAATATTCATTTCAAAGAAAATCTAGTTACTGACACTTGATTTGCATACAAGAGAAAAATACCAAGGTACTGGGCAAAATATACACAGCAAACATACCCTAGATAAAAATCACAGGGCCTGAATATTTTTTTGACAGTACGGCACAGAGGGAGTTTATTTTACAACATGCCAGCACCCCATTTATGTTAGATGGGGCAAGGATCCTGGGAACGTCAAAGGAGGTAGGGGTACAATTAGGGAAGCTGCAATTCTTATTATGATGCTTGGAGTACCCTGATTAATGTATCCTTTGTTATAGGTGCAGAGTTTGCACTTTCGCTTTTGTCAGTTGCAAAATGTTTCGATTTTACACAAGACCTTCAGAAAGAAATTCTTGAAAAGTAAGTTCTGGGTGCGGTTTGCACCCTTCAACAACCATTATTCTATCATGTGTTAGTCTACCCCCCAAAGACTGCATGTTTAAAGTTTAGAATTATTTCACCATATTCCAGAAGTCAGGATTAGATTAATTGCATAACTTGGTCTCATTTTTGGTTTGGCTCTGGCAAAAATGAATATTGTTTCTCTTCAACTTAAGATGCTCCAGTGCAAAGATGCAAGTCTTGTTATTATATTGGCTCTGTTTTTAATTAATAAGATTTTAATATGTATTTAAAAAGTAAAATTATTGAGTACTTGTCAGTGGCTTATGTTTGGGCAGATTTTCTTTTCTTAGGCTGTAACCATTTTTCAAATTCCCTTTTTCCCTGGAAAGCTCAGCCAGGTGAGAACTGCAGCATCAGTGCCTTGTTCCCTTCTGGGGAAAAGAGGTTAAAAGTGATCGTGCTATGAAATATTCTGTTTCCAGTCATGGTGCTTTTAACTATACCTTTGATATTCTGATGAATATACATTGATATTGATTATTGTGAATGTTTTCTAATGCAGCTTTTTAAATATGAGCTGCTTTCCAGTCCTTGGAAAGGAAGACAGGCTTAGCATACCATAAACAAGGGAAAATTCTTTTTAAGTCTAGATATTTATTAGCACAGCCTTGCTTTTAAACAGGTATCTTAACAGCTGATGCAATTTGTTTTATTTATTTTCATACATACACATATATACTGCCTATCTTTGCTGTCCAAGATGGATAGCATCTGCCATTTATATCCACAAACAGCAGAATCTTCAGGCCACGATCAAATGTGTGAAAATATTTATTTGCCCATTTAATTATCTGGATTTGCCTTATGTACCTGCGTGAATTATGTGACTTAAAAATAATAGTAAGAAACAGCATAATTTAAGAGCTGCTGTTCAGAAAAGAGCAGGCCTCCCTTCCGCTCCCCTATTTTTATCTATTTGTATTTATTTTGTGTGGCAACCTGACTTTCACCTGGTAGCTCAACGTGCTGTAGCTCACTTTGTTTATTCTTACAACAGTACAATGGTGAGATTTGTTGGGCTGAGGCAGAAAGTAGATAAAATTGTCAAATGGGTCCCACGGTCAGATGGGCCTCCAGAGTCTTTTCATTCTGAGTCCATCATCTTAGCTGTGAGTATAAACAACTGATAAGCACACATCTGTTTAGATTTATGTATGTATCTCCCTTGCACTAAAAAATAATGTCCTTGATCTTCATAACTATGTTGTGTCTGCAGAGGCTTTGGGTGCAAGATAACCATTTTTTTAGTACTGGCACGTACAAATTCCTTTTAAGCTTCTAGCACGAGAAAAGAAAATGTGTTATCTAACTTACTTCTTCTTGTGCCAAGTTTCCTATCTTCTAGGATGGGTGGGCCGCTATGGCCCCTTTATGACCTGTGGATTTCAACTCCCAGAATTCCTGAGCCAGCCATCAATTCTCAGAGTTGAAGTCCACAGGTCATAAAGGGGCTATAGTTGTCCACCACCCCTGTTCTAGGAGGTATGTACATATTTAACACAATGAGCATGTAAATGGGACTGCTACCATCTGAAGGGATGTAATTCTAATGTAGGACACAGAAGCAGGAACGCGTCCTTCTCAAATCATTTGGCTAGGCTTATGTAGAGTGTGTGTTCGCCAGTCTTCGGAACATCCAAAGTACTTCTAGCTGAAGGCATTCCTGTTTCTGTGCACACTGGGGGAGTTCTATTAACATAAGCAAAATGTTCCTGCTTATGGTTGCTTACCTTTTATGGAACAAAAGCACTCACAATTACACCAGAGCTTTATAGGAAGGGAGTCACTCATAGCTAATAGCATAATGCAACTTTTCTTTTAGCTTGCAGGCAATGTATGCCAATGATCCTCTTGTGTGGGATTTCATGGCACGCCGGGAACTGGAGATGGAATCCCTGCCTCCTTCAGAACAACCTAAGTCAAAGCAGTCCAAGGCTTTAGAGGTTGCCCGCAAAGAAGAACGGTGTTGTGCTGTATTTGAGGAGGCAATCACACACCTTCCCACTGGTTAGACTTCTTTTTTTTTTCCTGGATACATTCTGAAGCTATGGACTTGAGAACTCAAATACAGGTAGTCCAGTTCATTTAGTGACTGTTCAAACAGCACTGAAAAAAAGTGACCTTTGGGCATTTCCCCCACTTACGACCATTGTAGCATCCCCATGGTCACGTGATTTACATTCAGACACTTGGCAACTGACTCACATTTATGACATTTGCAGTGTCCCAGGGTCATGTGATCACATTTTTGTGACCTTCTGACAAGCAAAGTCAACAGGGAAGGTAGATTCACTTAACAACCATGTTACTAATTTAAGAACTGTGGTGACTCACTTAACAAATGTAGAGAGAGAAGGTGTAAAATGGAGCAAACCCACTTAACCACATAAATTTTGGGCTCAATTCTGATCGTAAGTCTAGGACTACCTTTACCTGTCCAAAAAGTCTGTTCCATATACTCGAAATTATTGTCAAAGTTTTCCATAATAAAGGGGGCCGCCTATTTTTGTGTGAACTAATATTGAAAATCTGTATTCAGTTCATGGGGTTCAGTTCCAACAAGCAGCAGATGGAAATAGGCAACGTGTGGCCGAATGTTATTTGGCAGGCTGGCTCTTTTTGTCATTAAGCTTGCGAATTGCTTTATTTCATTTTTGTACTAATAGAGCATATCTAGCAAAGGCCCCCACCTTTTTATTCCTAAAGTCCACAAATTCAAATCTTCTAGTACCCATTTCTAATGTACTCTTGCAGTGAAATGAGAAGGAACATGAGGAGGATACGGCAGTTTGCGCCCTTAACAGTTTCCTTGTCATACTTTGGTATTGTCTCTGTCAGTCAACGTCGGGTGATTTGTACAAGGAAGCTAAGTGGGCTGTGTATGCTGACTTATCAGAAAGATGCAGAGCACCACAGTGCTCCCTTGAGGCTTAATGTGGTAATGCCACGTCTGCTGAAGGAGGAAAAGAGACTTGTGATGAATGAGCAGAACTGATGCTGACTTGAAACAGATTATTCAGAAGTTAGACTCCGCTTCACAGTTGCGGATAAATTTGTCTTTTGCTTTCAGAAGAAATAACAAGTGTTTTGAATTTTGCAGAGGAAATGTGGAAGTGTTATGTCACTTTTGCCTTGGAAAGATGTAACCGAAAGACCAACAATGAAGAATTAAGGAAAAAGGTAAGTGCTTTGCCTTTGGAATAATACCTGTGTCTTCTGTTACTGATGCTGCTATTTCCCCTGAAGGGACTTCACTGGCAAGTCCCTCAGTTCCCAGCCTGAAAAGATTTTTAGAAAATTGATTTATTAAATAGAATATTACGGCTTGATTAAGAGAGAGAGACTTCATTGAAGTAAACAATGGTCTGGAATGTGTGTGGCTTTGATTTGTATAGTTTGCCTGTGTTTATCTGTTCTTATGATTTTAGTGAGGCATGGTCAGAAGTGCCATTCCACGCCTATAGCATATGCCTATGCAGGATGGACAGGCATATTCTGACTTATCTTCCCTGTTCTGATTACTCAATAATATAGTACTTCACTTAAACAAAGAGACACCTAGTCTCATCTTGAGAGCTTATCTGGTTGGCTCCTAATTTTTAAGGTTGGACTACAAAATGGCTATTCTGCTCCAAAATAAAAAGTAAAATCTTTGATATATGCCCTTAATGACTAATGGCTAGTTGACGTTTTTTTTTTTTAAATAGGAAGATTTTGTGAAGAATCTTTGTGATATACAGTAATATTATGATAAAGCTAAGCTGAGCTAAGCTAATGAGAGACAGTTTGGTCTAGTGGTTAAGACAACAGGCTAGAATGTTGGAGACTGGGTTCAAGTCCTGCCTTAGCCATGAAAGCCAGCTGAGCGACTTTGGGCTAATCACTCACTCTCAGCCCAATCAGTCTCACGGGGTTGTTGTTTTGGGGAGTATTAGATATGTTTGCCACCTTATTTGTAAAAATAAAGGCAGGATACAAATGAAACAAATAACATTTAAAATTATTCATTATAACATTTTACAAGTGCTGGGAACTTTAAAAAATGGTGGAAGAATATTAAAGTAGACTTGGATTCTCCTGTTAAGTTCAGCTTGTGATGCAGTTATAGATGTAACATCTAAGTATTCAGTTGTTGGCTGCTTTGCAGAAAAGCTGAACAGTCTTTTCAGTCCTGAGGGCCACATGTAATTATAAATACTGTAGATGGCTATTAATCTGGGCATAGATTCATGCCCAGTACTGCACTTCCACCTCTCAAGTTCATTGGAGTATGGAGAGGAGGCAATGGCTGCAGTAGTGAGGAAAAGAATTTGCATTGAGAAGAAACAGCAGAGGGCTACAAAAGAGTGCTTCTTGGCAACTGAGATTGTGGGCTACATGGCTCCTGCAGCAAAATCTTACAATATGGTATGCACTACAGGGTTTGAGGTTCAGCCAGATAAGAGAGTTTTCAGTATCTCCAAATTTTAATCCTTCCAGTTTTCCTCTTCTCTTCCCATCAAGTCAGTTCAAGATTCATTGATTTGATTGGCCTGGTGGGTGGAAGATTTTTTCCTTAATTTTTTAAACTTGGTTTTTGTCTGTTTCTTGAAATTCTCCCAAACCTGCCACTTTTTCCTTTGGTGCCATAAATAATATCATTTTGACTACACACAGTTCCAAAAAATTTAGCCATTAGTACTCAGGATCACGACTTCAAAAGCTCTGTGAGATTTTATGAAAACTCATTTGTACTGCAGTAAAAGTGTTTTTATTCCTTCCATCTTGTTTCAGAGACTGGAAAGGGTACAGAATGTTTTCAGCCAAGCTCATGAATCACAATTGCTGCCAGCTCCTCTCTATAAACAGTGGGTAAGGAAGGATGTGGTCCTTGCAGTTAAAACGTTCCTACTCACATAAACCGGAAAGGGTGGATTTGGAGCTGAGAAAACCATTCCTGGAAGCAACCATTTGGTGCTTATTTTGATGTGGCGTCTTTTCAGATTCAGCTCCTGCTGGAACTCGATCATGAGGACCAGGCCAGAGAGGTGGCTGCAGCAGCCACAAACCGTTTCAGCCAATTGGTGGATATGTGGGAAATGAGGCTGCAGTTGCTGCTGAAACTGAAGAGCAGTGAAGTGGCTACTTGTGCCCAGGAGGCTCTCAAAGTGGTTAAAGCTAAGGTAGGAGCTCTCTTCTGCATTTGAGGTTGTATGAAGGAATACTTGGAACCTGGGAGTTCTCTCTCACAAATGAAGGTCATCAGGAACTAGTAGTAACAGTAACATTCATTGAGTCATTGACCAGCAAAGTTTACCAAATCTACAATGCAAAAGTCAAATCAAATGGGTGAGATAGAATACCATCATAACAAGGAGTCTTATTAATAAAAGTGCAGCACAAGTTACGGATATAATGTGTATTAATAAATTGTGCAAGTATAAAATACTACAATCTATGAAGTAAAAATTCCATAAAAGTAGTCCTCGCTTATTGACTGACTCATTTAGTGACTGTTCAAAGATATTGTTGTGGGAAAAAAAAAAGCTTTGCGACTAATCTAACATCTTTAATGTTCTGCTGTCACGTGATTGCCATTCAGGCCCCTTCACAACTGGCTTCCAACCAGCAAAATTAATGAAGAATGTAGAAGTGAAATTTGCAAGTTGTGATCATGTGATTTCGCTTAATAACCAGTGTGATTTTCATAAAGACCAAATGGGAAGTAAGATCATAAGCCATCGTGGTCATATGACTTCCTGTGTTTAATGATAGAGTTGCCACTTCCAATTGTGGTCAGTAAACAAGGACTATATGTATTGCCTAAAATGAAGTAACTAGCACGATTTCAGAATCTGCTTAGTGATCTGAAATGCTTTCTCCATTCATAAGATCAACTTTTGACAGTCGCACTGTCAAAAAGTCAACATTTTACCACCTAGGGAAAGATGAATTGGCAGGGCTCCTGGCAGAGGCAGTGAAAGAGCTTTTTTTCATTTGTTTCTTGCACTTAACAGTGGGCTATTCCAGGCCCAGTGGGCTTGTATGAGTACCTGCTTACGATTGTCCATAGGATGATGAGCAGTGGTGGTATTCAGCAGGTTCTGATCAGTTCTGGAGCCGGTAGCGGAAATTTTGAGTAGTTTAGAGAACCGGCAAATACCACCTCTGACTGGAGATTTTACAGTATCCTTCCCCTGCCATGCCCACAGAACCAGTAGTAAAAAAAATTGAATCCCACCACTGATGAACACTTGTCATCAAGGCCATGGCATTCTATTGTGGTAACTGTTAGTAACTCCAGCACTATTACAATATAGTTCTTCACACCCCTTATATTTTAAAGATCCCAGAGACAAAACCATTTAGCTATGAAAATAACGTAGCTTATTTTCTGAGTTCCCCTTTTGTTTCTTTGTAAGCTTTTTGCATGGCCTGTGTAATGCAGGACTTCACTTACTTAAACTAGTCCCTTTCTATAGTAGAGAGGCTCCTTAATTTCATCATATTTTCTGCCATACTACAGGTAGTCCTTAACAGTTCATTTAGTGACCTTTCAAAGTTACAGCGGCACTGAAAAATGTCACATGACTGTTTTCCACGCTTACGACCATTGCAACATCTCCATGGTCACATGATCAAAATTCAGATGCTCGGTAACTGACTCCTATTTATGACGGTAGCAGAGTCCCGGGGGGGTCATGTGATAATCTTTTGTGACCTTCTGACAAGCAAAGTCAATGGGAAAGCCAGATTCACTTAACAACTGTGTTACTAACTTATCAACTGCAGTGATTCACTTAACAACTGTGGTAAGGAAAGCCGTAAAATGGGTCAAAACTCACTTAACAAATGTTTCACTTAGCAACATAAATTTTGGGCTCGTTTGTAGTCATAATTTAACTGTACTACCTGTACTTCAGGCATTTCGGTGCCTTTTAATTTGCCTGCTACAAAATCAAAATTTGCCAGCCATTCTCCAGTCTCACCTTATTACAGGTATTTTATGCAACTTGTATCCAATATTTTCTTCTCCTGGTTTTTTTGTTATTTTTCCCTGTAGGACACCTTGCCCCTATGGACTTTATGGCTAGAATGGAGTGAAGGTGCCAGCAGTAAAGCAGAGACTGAAGCTCTCTATCAGGTATTGTATTTTCCATTCATAAATGAATCATGGTTTTTGTTGTAGTTGTGGAGAAACTAGGAGGAGTACTAGGAATATATATATATATATATGCCTTGAGGTATTTATCAAAAATAACAAAAAAGGCAATAAATAGATAAATAAAAATAATATATTCCACCTAACAATACCAACATAAGATCATAAAGAGTATCCTGAAATGGAGTAATAAACATATGGAAGCACAGTCTTTAATTACAATGAATGGTTTCAGAAATATTGGTTGTTTTCAGTTAACAAGGGTAATTAGGAGCAGAATTTCTATTGCTAAGCAACGCAATGGTAAAGCACAATGCCGCGTGACCCTAGCACTTAGCAATGCAGTTCCATCATTTCCGGTCGCTGTTGTTAAATGAATCCCAAGCCGTTGTTTTAAAAGTGCAATGTCTTGTGATTGCCACATGTCACCTGCTGGCTTTCCTATTGACTTGGCTTATTGGAAACTGGTAGTGAAAGTTACAAATAGCAATCACATGATCATGGGATAGCAATAGCACTTAGACTTACAGAGTCAGCCTATTGCCCCCAACAATTTGGGCCCTCATTTTACCCACCTCGGAAAGATGGAAGGCTGAGTGAACCTTGAGCCCGGTGAGGTTTGAACTGCCAAACTCTAGGCAGCTGGCTGCAGAGGTAGCTTGCAGTACTGCACTCTAACCACTGTGCCACAGAGGCTCCTTCAACAGAGGGATGCTGCAACATGGTAATTGCAAGCTGATGGTCAAGTACCTGGTTTTCAATCATATGACCGCAAGGATTTTGAGACAGTTGCAGCTATGAGGACCTGTTCTAAGTTCCCCTCATTCTGCATCATTATAATTTCAAAAAGTTGCTGAATGAGTGAGTGGTTGTTAAGCAGGGACTGGTTGTAGATTCTCCAGAGCAGGTTTACTAAAGAGCAGGATTGCCTGCCTATGTATATCCTCTAGCCGAGTCAATAGATCCAATTTGGTGTGGGTAATTATCACAAAACAAAGTAACCGATCTTCTTGACTTTGGTTTCAAAGTCCACTGTGGATGCTTCAAAGCTTTGTGTCATTTAATGGACTTCACAATCATTTGCATTTAACTGGCAGAGATCTTTCCTTGCCACATGTCCTGCTGACTCCATAGCCTTGAAAGAAAAGTACCTTGAGTGGGCTCACAGAACCGGTGGCTATAAGAAAGCAAAGCAAGTCTTCACCAGGTTAGGACATCTCTTTTCTAAAGCATTATTCAATCACTTTTTTTCTATATTCCTCCACCCCCATTTGTTATTAAAATCAAGTGAGTTACCCCATTACTTCTCTCCTAGGCTGCAGGAATGCCGCCCGTTTTCACTCCAGTTCTTCAAAAAAATGATTGAGATTGAAAAGGAACGAGTAAGTTAAGAAGTATTATAAATAAGTGTAGGGATCGATTTCTTGGTTGTGTTAGTAATTATGGAGTGTACTATTTTCTCAGGTACCATGTGTTTTAATTTTTGTATGGTTGTATTTTTATTTTAAATTTGTTGATCACCTGGTGTCACTTGAGATGGGTAGCTAACCAAATCAAATGAATGAATAACAGCAGAGGTGGGTATTCAGCAGTTCTGACCAGTTCTGGAGAACCGGTAGCGGAAATTTTGAGTAGTTCGGAGAACCGGCAAATCCCACCTCTGACTGGAGATTTTACAGTATCCTTCCCCTGCCACGCCCACAGAACTGGTAGTAAAACAATTTGAATCCCACCACTGAATAACAGTGATATTGGTGGAAATATGTACCGATTGTTTGATAGAACAAATAAATGAATAAATAATGTGCAGTATTTGTAGAGGTATTTACCAATGTGAGGTTTCTAATGGAAAGCATGCTTTTCTAGGACTGGGCCACAGTAAAATACTTGAGCTGATTTTAAAAGCCACCTGGAAATAGTCATCCTGAAGCTTATAGGCAGATTATTGACACATGCCCAGTTTCTTGAAAATCCTGGCCTCATTGGTGTTTTAATGGAAAGGATGAGGCAGACCTCTGGATTCTCTCTAGATACTCCAAACTACAATTAAGAAATCCACTGCCAGCTGTTAGTGCTAAGGAATTGTAAATCAGCAACATTGGAAAGATCAAAAGTTTCTCATCTTTGTTTTAAAACATTAAATGTCTTAAGAGCTGAAAAGCCACTTATATTATTATGTTTCATACACACTGGTTATAGTGGTTGTCTTGGGTGCATAATGTCTTTGCATTATGTAAGTGTGTCTTTTGTGGGAGTATTTGAGGGAGGGAGTGCCCTGGAGCTTAATATAATACTTCCCTCAAAGGAGAGAAGCTGAAACTCCTACCCTGACTGCAATAGTTGGGGGGTGGGGCTTGGAAAAAAAAAAAGAGAGAGGGAGGGTTCTTTTGGTCCAGATGTTGTAGCTATAGGCCTATCAGGTTCCAAAACCAAGAAAGACATACATGATTATCTATAAATAGTTCTTGTCATCGTTCCTCTCCTATAGACAGAAATCTTGCTAAACTAAAGCAAATACTTGCATCATTAAGGATATATTCCCAGAGTTTATTCATTTTGAGAGTATATCTTAGATATGCTCTGAGAAGAATTTCTAACTCTTTCTCCTAACTAAACCGGCTGTCATTTTCATCCTCTGGAATGCATTCCTTCTCTCCTGGGAATCTAGACTATATGCCACTATAAGGGCTGAACCCCGTAAAGGGGCTCTGAGGAAGTCAGTACTGTAGCCAGCTGTGATCATGGAGAAAACCAGTAGGGCCTCTGAAAGAGCTGCCTTCTCTTGCCCTTTCTTGCTGTCCTTCAAAAGCAGCACAGTCAGGACTGTTCTTCTCTCACTTGCCAGGATTTCTTGTGCCTGGATTGTCCACATGCAAACTGCTCCTAGAAATTGGGAAGGAATGCCCCAAAAGATTTATTTATGAAGGCTGCATAAAGTTTCAGAAGATGATTAAGATTGCATGACAAATGTGCTTTATTCCAGTCATTTTATCATTGTTAAGCTCAGCATGGTAACCACCCACCATTTTTTAAAGGAATCCAGTAAAATATTTAACATCCGAGAATATTATGAACGTGCCTTGAGAGAATTTGGTGCTACAGAACCTGGTAAGAATTTTTACTTGTTGGTTTCTAAGACTACTCTCAGTTGTATTTCTGTTATAGCTATGGCAATCACCGGATTCTTTCTGTTAAAAGTCTCTCAAGGAACCAAGCAAAGCTTATTGTGGCAGTTGCTGATTTTCCTTTCTGTCTGTCTTGGAATTCTACAGAATACTGTGTAGTTGAAACATTCCATCTTTTTTTTATTCTATTCAAAACATTAAAATACAAATTCCAAAAAGAAAAATATAAAAGCAGAACAAGACAAGACTACATAAAAATGTGCATGAAAAGATAAAAACAAAACAAACATAAATTGCCCCTCCACCCCACTGAATAATGACAAATATCTTTCAGAGATAATAACTCCTCCCTCCTTGTGAAGCAAACACACTATTCATAAATTTCTACAATTTACAACCCACTTGGCCTGACATCTACTATTATGGAAACATAGTTAACAGATAAAACCATCAGCCAAATTTCAAAACCTTTTGTTAACAGTCTCTTATTGTAATTCATATGCAGAAAGTCCATAGTAGTTTCTGATCCATCATCAATCACCACAGTCATTGTCTCTGATCCATCTAGGATCATTCTACAGAATACAGCGAAGTTGCCACATTCCAATCAAGTACATAGTCAATGTTCTTTGCCGTGGGGAATCGCCTTTTTTGTAGCATTTCCATTATTAGAGTTATAACTATGTTTTTTTTTTAAATTGAAGATCTTTGGCTGGATTATATCAAAGAAGAGCTGAATCATTCTCAAGGCAAACCAGAGAATTGTGGCAGTATTCACTGGAGAGCTATGAAAATACTGCAGGGAGAACAAGTGGAAACTTTTATTTCAAAGTATACGCTGTTGCAAGCTGGGCACCTGTGAGAAATTATTTTTTATTCTAATGGCAAATTAACCTGTTAATTAAACAGGTTAAATTAACAACTATGGAAACTCTTGGCTTTTAGTTGAGTCAAGTGTATAATGAATGCTCCCTGAATAAATTACTTGCTACTAAAAATTGCCTAACATCCGTATTCTCTCCACATTACTGGAGTTAACATAAATGTAACAGTTTGAGATTTTAATTAATATACATTTATACTTTCAGGGAAAGTGGAAGAACAAACTTAATTTTACATTTATTTTGCTACTGTTTTGTGATAGGAACTATTTATATTTTATATTATTGTGATAGAACTGGATTTCATTCTGGCTACTGAATAGTTGTTGTTTGCCAAACAAATGTAAATGGTCACATAGAGATTGTTCCAGGAACAGCTAGTTTGGGGTGATTTGTGTAAAAAGTAAAACATGCATGCTTGTTCCAGATGGCAAACGGAAATACAGTTGTTTTAGGCAAAAGTATTTTGGTGCATTTGGGAGGGAAGGAGATAGGACTCCCCCCCCCCCAAAAAAAAAGCCTTAGTGAAGTTAGGCTAACTTGTACCAAGCTAGGCACGTTTATTTTTATTTTTTAAAAAAAAGAATGAATGCATACTCATTATGTACAGATTAAAATAAAAAAACTGAATATATCAACTGTAAAAGTTTGGACATCATCTCTTCTTCTAGGTTGGGCATTTCAACCATACAACAATCTGAAACATTTCCAGAACAACCAGCAAAGCCTTACTGAAAATAAATACAGTATAAAGGTTCTGGAATGGTCTTCCATGCTTGCCAGACTTAACTTTTATTCCAAGACTGAAAGGAGGTCTCAAATGTGCAATGCATGCAGGGAGGGTTCTGCAAGGGAGAATGGGGAAAATTGCCTAAGCAAGAGTAGAAAATGTAGAAAATATTTACTAAGGAGATACTACAAAGCGATGATTAAAAATGGGTCTCTAAATTTTTCTCCTGGATATCTCTCAGAAATTCTTTTAAATATTCAGAATCCACTAGAACTAAAAGAGATCATCATCTGAATGCAGTCCAATTGCTATGACTAACCAAGGTCTGGAGTAAATTTACCAATCAGATGGTAACCTGGAAGAAATATGGAGAAGCGATAATCAGTTAAAGTCATCCATTTACACATCAATTTCATATAATGTGAACACTAAGATATTCCTTAACGTCATATTTGAGAGATGTCTTTTCCAACTGATAACAAAGATGCACATAAGTGCATCATCAAAAGAACAAGATGGTTCCAATGGTTTTTTTTTTCCTTCACAGCAATCAAAATGATTTAAAAGCTTTTTGTTTTATTTTTTAAATGAATGAACAATCTTCACAAACTGTTGTCATCAGGCAATTAGTGAATGGCCGTACCAGAAAACCCATGCCCCATTGCATCATTGTTTCAGAAATATTTCCTTACCTAAACGGAATCGGAATGACCCAAGAGTAGGCAAAAAAGCAATGGGAGCAGCGTGACATTGAATTTCCTTGTGGGAATCAGGCAGGGAGCATTCTTTCCTTACCTTCCCAGCAGGCAGGTAGGTAGCTGCTCTGGGTGAGGGATGGAGAGAAGGCTTTCAAATGTGGCTGGGAAATTGTTAACAGAAAATGGAGATCATGTGATTACAGCAGCAGTGTAGCAACAGTAAGTAGCACTGAAGCAGTCACAGCTTTCCCAAATTCCAGGAGATTTGGACACATTCTGTATTTGAGGTATTTGTATTTGCCCATTTGAGGTTCAAAAATTGTTGCCCCATGATGCACCGTTTCATCCAGTTAAAGGTCATGACAAGAGTTTTAGGTAGTAGTATATAGATTATCAAACCTAGTTTTATTTAACTGGATTGACACATCACAAACCAAGAATCAAATCCATTGTGGCTTAATGCAATTCGTAACTTAGTGGCTGAGTTCATACTTTGGGCTAAGTTTTAACTGTAAAAAATTTCAAAATAACTAGATTTGTGAAACAACACCAAAAATCACCTTTTACTTTAGCATGATAGATGAATTCAATTTATAACCCCTTGTGCATCAGAAACTAGCTGCAGGTAGTTTGGATAGACTTATAATAGCATGTACCTTGATCTGAGAAGTCAAATGGCCCTCAGGAGCAGTTGGGCTTGTACTCTGATATTTTGTGATCTGGTTTATAAATTGTAATTTACTGAGGTCACAATCTTGTCAACGATACCTATATATGAGAATATGCTTTATTACTAAGAAATAAAGGCAATTTCTTGTTTATGAATTTCTGAATGTCTTGATGTACAGCTCCTTGAATTATTTCCCCACTCTTGATTTCTACCCCTGATCAATTATTTGTGAAAAGATTTGAAATAAGTCATCAAGATTGTTAAACTGAGATGTCTGTTTGTGAGGTAAACGGCTAACACAACGAGGATTTGGGCCAGGCCCAGGGAGCTCTGAAAACCTCAATTTTTACATTGAAGACGACTTCAGAATGTTAACGTCAGAAACTTTTCAATGTCAGGCTTCACCTTTGAAAAATGAGCATTTCTGAGTATTAAATAATATTTAACTTTGTGTCACTGAACTCGACTAACTTTTGGCAGCTTACAACATAAGGAAATATAAAAATAACTATTTGCATAAGCAGCAAGCAGAAAACAAATCTGGTCCACACATGAATCAAATATCGGGTACCCAGCAGAGATCCAGTTGCCCTGGTCTAGCACCCAAGAGTACATAAAAGGGCATTTTTGTTGTTGTCATATTTGAGGAAGCACAGTTGGTACCAGGTTTTATTGGGCATGTTTCACCTTGAAATCAAAGATCCCTGAATGGAGTTTATGTATCTTTTCTTTTATGTATACTGAGAGTATGTACATCAAGACAAATTCCTTGTGTGTCGTCACACTTGGCCAATAAAATATTCTATTCTATTCTATTCTATTCTATTCTATTCTATTCTATTCTATTCTATCCTATCCTATAGGTAACACCAAGGAACTGGGATTTTCATCAAAACATTTTCTCTTTAGCCAAGGTATTCTCCCACAAGTAATGGAAAGATGGTGGTGCATAAAATGAAGTTCAACTCAGTTTCCTGGTTTTCTCCAGCAACACAAATCTGGCTTAGCTTTCACACACACACTCTCCATAACTTTCCAACATTGGCAGTTTTAAAAGGCAGATTTTCAATGTTGGCATGACCATCTAAATTCAGGTAATGATACGATTCCTTTGCCTGTACTCAAGAGAGGGGTTTCAATGAACAAGCCTTTCCTTCTTTCCTCTGAACCATTAAAAGTTTTTGAACACATCCATAGACCATGATCATTCAAGCACTTAAACCAATTTCTCACTTAGCCACATAAATTCTCGGCTTAATTGTGGTCTAAATCAAGAACTCCCTTTATTGGTACTGCGCGTTGGCTGTCTTGAGTTGTCTATGGGGGGAAAAAAGGCGGGATTAAATTAAAATAAATAAAAAAGGTGCAGCAGGCGCGCGCGCCAAGTCAAACAGACCCGGCCGGCGGATCGAGTGCAAAGCTTGGGCTGGCCACGTGAGCCGCGCCTTTGGCGAGTTTTCTCGTGAGAAGCTTGTTTGTGCGTGTGGGGCGGAATCTGCTTGGAGTCGGGAGAGCCCTGTCGGCCGGGCATGGAGACGGCCACTCCCCAGGGGCGTAGCCTAGATTGCAGGGTGAGGCAGGAGCCCGCGTGACTGAGGGATACGTTTCCCGGGCGCAAGGGCCGGGCAGCGGGGCAAAGGGTTTGACGGTGGCAGCCGAACAAGCGGAGTTGCAAGCCTTGAGCCACCCTTGGGGAAGGGAAGGGCTTTGCTTCCCAGGATTAGGAAACACGTTTTAATTGAACCGGTTCAATGAAATGCTTATTCTTCAATGGAGAACGGCGAGGTCGCTTATACGTGCCATTGACTGGGAAGCTGGGTAGATAATGCAGATAATTACCCACGAGACTCGAGAATTGGATTGGTGGCATTTCAAACTCGTGCTTTCGAGTTGATGCTTTAACCATTTTTTTTTTAAAGAAGCAGGTCGTTGTCAAACTCTGGAATATGCGTTACATATTCCCGCTTCTTGCTAGGTAACGAAGCACAACGTTTGAAATTAAAATAGCGTGCTGGGCGGGGTGTCAGGCGACCGTTGAACGCTGTCCGGGACGAGTGGGATTAATTAAATTCGAAGCACGCTAATTTCACTCGGAGGCGGTTTTTTTAAATGCAGTGGAAGTGCTGAGTGAACTTAATTGAATAAGATTAGGCAGCCATGTATTTTTCCTGAGGTAAAAAATATTTTAAAGCTTTCCCCATTCTGGTACCTGTTGGTCTACAACTCTCATAAGTCTGGCACCAGGAAGGCATCGATTGAAAAATATACATTAAGGGATCAGATAATCCCTTCTTCCAAGCAGTGACTGAAGAAACACTTCCATATCCTATATATGGTATCCTATTCTAATCATAGGCCACAAAGATCAGCTGATCTTTGTATCTAAGTTTAGGGTGGTTTTTCATACTTTACTCATTTACAGTTTCTTTAGATATATTTAAACCCATTCTGATTCTTTTTTGATCATGGCTATAATAACACATGAAACTGGCTATATAGTTAAGAATCCAAGCTATTAATTTTAATTATTAGCAAGCATCAAGAAGAGATGTTTTACCATTTGTGCCTCAGTGTTGCCATATCAGTGGAAATTATCTCATGCATTCCAATTAGCTAAAAAGATCCCTGCCTCTCTACTGTTAATTTTAAATTCTGACATATAAAGCACACACACTGATAGGCTTCCTAGTGACCTATTTAGCATTGCATCTAACTTTCAGGTTGATATCTGTTTGAATAGTTTCAGCATTTATTCGGTGCATCAAGTTTTTCTGTAATGCAAAGAGTCCTTGTGTGATGAAGCATCAGACAGACTGAAGAACAATAATGGTAGGCAGTGTGTATAAGATTTAAAATTCTTGGAAAAGCAGAGTTGTCAGAATACTTAAAGCCCAGATTTTTAAAGAATCATTTTAATGTGTAATTAATCCTCTCATGGACCCTAGCAATATAATTGGATTTATTGAAAAGGCTGGGCAAAGCTCATAGGTACAGAAAGGTAGAGAATTAAAAAGCTGGATGAGTGGAAGAAGGCTTAGTAATAGTATCCTGAGGGAGAAAGATGTGAGAATGGACAAGGAGATGTTTAAATAGCAGTTTCATTCATCTTTGAGGGAGATGGGTGGTTTAGAAATATGAAATATAAATGCATAAACTAAATGTTTTTCTTAATAATACAAAGTTTAAGAATATATGCAAGGGAAGTTAAGAGATGAAAGTACAGGTAGTCCTTGCCTTAAGACCACAATTAAGTCCCAAATGTCTGTTGCTAAGTGAAACATTTAAATGAATTTTGTCCTATCATGTCCTTTATTGCCACAGTTGTTAAGTGAATCACTGTAATTTTAAATTAGTAAGACAGTTGTTTAGTGAATTTGGCTTTCCCATTGACTTTGCTTA